TCCCTCCCAGGTGGGGCAGCTCTTGCTTGTCTTCAGCGGGGAATGTGTGCCCAGTGCCACGAGGTCTTCTGCATTTTCAACAAAATTGAGAAATATGGATGTTTTTCTTTTGTGAAATTTTCTATTTTCTGATTTGGAAGCAACTCATTCAAATCTTTCAAAAAAAATCTAGTGCCAGTCAATCCTGAACAGGCCAAACCCCACAAGCTTGGTTTGTAGGGCGGCCCAGTGTTTCTGGGTCACACCGAGGTCCCTGGAGCAGTGGTTCTAAAGTCAGCATTTCTGACCCGCCAAGAGCTTCAGCAGGTCAAAATCCCCATTAATTACACGCTAAGTTTGGTGAGTATACATTTTAGGGGAAGAGGACTTACAGGTTTTGGCAAAATTAAGAACCCATGACTAGCAAACTTTTAAGAGCCACCATGTTACCAGCATTTATTTTCAGAATGCCAAGCAGTTTGTGATAATGTAATCAGACCCTTGTGATAATTGCATTATTGGTAATCAGATAATGTAATGAATGAGGTCCCCTCATTCATTCAGCAAGAGTTACTGAACATTTATGATGTGCAAGGCACCTTCAAGGCACTGGAAATATAGAAGCAAGTAAAAGAGACCAAGTCTTTGTTCCCATGAAATGTATGTTCTAGTTGAAAGACACGGATAATATCTATAAAAAGAAGATATCTATTAAGTCAGATGGTGATGAGGGCCATGCAAGTTCAGAGGAGGCAGAGTGACAAGGTGGGGCGGAGGGGCATTTTAGGGGGAATAAAGTGGCAAGTCCTCTCTGTTAAGATTTTATCTGAGCAGAGACCTGGCTGATGTAAAGAAGCAAGCCGTGCACATTTCAGGAAAGAGCATTTCGTAGGAAGGTGAGATAAGAATGAAGACCTGAGGTGGGTGTGAACAGCAGTCCCTTACTAGAGGAGCAGGGTTAACTATACCTACTCCTTCTTCTTCTTGAAGTCGCTCAGTCGTGTCCGACTCTTTGCAACCCTGTGGACTGTAGCCTACCTGGCTCCTCCGTCCATGGGATTCTCCAAGCAAGAATACTGGAGTGGGTTGCCATTTCCTTCTCCAGGGGATCTTCCCCACCCAGGGATCGAACCCGGGTCTCCCACATTGCAGGCAGACGCTTTAACCTCTGAGCTATACCTACTAAAGGGGTTTAAAAATGGCTTTGAGAATTTTAAAAAATAAAACAAGAATTCCTTCAAATCTTTTGCAGCAATTTTATCTCTTTATATTACTGAAGCCCAGTTTAAAAAACAGATCTAAGAAAGGAGGCCCACACCCACTAGCTGGCCGGGGCCATAAACTGGCTCCATTTTTCCTGAGAGCTGTCTAGTAAATTTAACAAGCATTATAAAACTGTTCACAACTGTGACGTGGTCACTTCACTCTGTGGAATATTTCTACAAGGCAAAAGAGGGGGGAAGAGGTCTGAATCTACCAAAATGTTTTTAGCAGGGCCCGGTACAATACAAATAAAAAATTTCAAACAACCTTAAGCCTCAAAAATGGGATGAAAAGAAGCAAAAATAAACAAATAATGAATTTCACCATGCTTGGGTTCTATAGAGCTGTTAAACGACAGGCAAGAACAACATTAATGAATGGAAATATACATGAAAACTGTAAAGTGGGAAAAACAAGCTACAGACCTATGGATTTATGTTCATCCAAAGTAACAGAGACCAGGAGAAAATCTGGAGGGACACAAAGAAATCTACGGTTCAGTCAGCTCTCTTTGGGTGGAGTTGCTAAAGCTCATGCTGAATCTGAAATTTTTTTCTGGTGTTGGGTTACGTACGTGTCAGATTTTTTTTGAGCTGAGGTTTACCACCTGTGAAGTACCTTCCCTTTCTCGTGATGCTGAAAGGCACAGGGCTGTTGCGCAAGCACCAAACTCATTGTGTGATGGCGAGAACACTGCAAGTGGGGTCCACAGGGCACAGTCTGGCTGACGCTAACTGGAGCTTTACTATAGTTGTAGTATCTGCTCCAAAGACAGAGCCGCCAGACAGCACTGAAAACCAACAGCAGCTCCCGTGGAGGTGGCGAGAACGTCAGTTGCTGCCCCCACCGTGGCCGGGGTACAGGAGAGCAGGGTCTCCCTGCTGTGACAGTCCCACACCCTTCCTGATGCAGCCCAGCATCTAATTTTGCACTTGTCTCCTCGTGGGGTGAGGGGGCGCCTGGCTGATAGGGTTCCAAGAAAAGCGTTATCTGGTTGACATTGAGCTTTGAGACATGTTCTTGTTATTCAGGTCAACGGTCATCTTTTCAGAGAGGGCTTCCCAAGTCACCTGATCTAAAGTAGGTCTTGCCCAGTGATGGTGGACACACCCTCGTGGGTTGGGCTCTCTGTCATAGCTCTGTACACAGTCTTACAGAATCTTGTTAATTTAGTTTTGCATTCCTTTACTGTCGGTCTTTCCCCAGTACAATGTGGGCTTGGGACTTTCCTGGTGGTCCAGTGACTAAGACTCCAGCTCCCGAGGGAGGGGGCTTGGGTTCAATCCCCGGTCAGGGAACTAGATCCTACATGTCACAACTAAGAGTTTGCATGTCACAACTAAAGATCCCACGTGCCTCAATGAAGACTGAAGATCCCGCATGCTTCCGGGGCAGTCACATAAATAAATAAATATTAAAAACAAAACAAAATAATGGGGGCTTCTTGAAGACAGGAAGGACCATGTCTGTCATTTTTTATTCGTGCCTGCAATGATTTCCAGTGCACAGGAGTTCCTCAGTATTTATTTACTTTTTTAGGGAATTAACAAACAGACTTGAAACAATCAGCAATTTGAGGTCTCTGGGCCCCTCAGCTCAGCTCATCTGGATGTCATTTCTCAAGCCAGCCTGGATGAAGGGGCTTACAGTGGCAAATGAGAGGAAACTTTGCTGCTGTCTTCATTAGCATCTCAGCAGGAGCTGTAGGTTATCTGGGGCCCCAGGAAAAGGTTTGTGCTGGGGAGGGAGGGAGCCTGTTTCACTTCCCCTCATTGAAAGCTCCCTGTGTCTCATTTCCTCACTCTTCCTTCTTCCGTTCCTTTCCTTTGCCTCTGGAGAAGGAAGGCCAGCAGTCAGGTGAGCAGTGGTGGGCAAGCAGGAACCCAGTCATTGTACCTGTGCTTCCAGCAGATGGAGGGCCCTCAGGAAGGAGAAGGGCATACATGGAAGTTGGGCTGGGGAACTGGTCATTCAGGACATGCAGATTTGTGCTTGCTTATTTCTTGCATCATTTTAAACAGCTCACAAAATGACTCGAGGGAATAATGTCTCCTTGATTCCACAAAATGGGAACCTAGCATCGGACTGTCAGTTCAGTTCAGTTCAGATCAGTCAATCAGTTGTGTCCTACTCTTTGTGACCCAATGGACACCGCACACCAGGCTTCCCTGTCCATCACCAACTCCCGGAGCTTACTCAACCTCACATCCATAGAGTCGGTGATGCCATCCAATCATCTCAGACTTTGTCATCCCCTTCGCTTTCTGCCTTCAATGTTCTCAGCATCAGGGTCTTTTTCTTATGAATAAGTTCTTCGAATCAGGTGGCCAAAGTATTGGAGTTTCAGCTTCAGCATCAGTCCTTCCAATGAATGTTAGGGTTGATTTCCTCTAGGATTGACTGGTTTGATCTCCTTGCAGTCCAAGGGTCTCAAGAGTCTTCTCCAACACCACAGTTCAAAAGCATCAATTCTTCGATGTTCAGCCTTCTCTATGGTCCAACTCTTACGACCATACATGACTACTGGAAAAACCACAGCTTTGACTATACAGACCTTTGTCAGTAATGTCTCTGCTTTTTAATATGCTGTCTAGGTTGGTCATAACTTTTCTTTCAAGGAGCAAGAATCTTAATTTCATGGCTGCAATCACCATCTGCAATGATTTACAGTCCAAGGAAATAAAGTCTGTCACTACTTCCATTTCTTTCCCCATCTATTTGCCATGAAATAATGGGACTGGATGCCATGATCTTAGCCTTATGAATTTGAGTTTTAAGCCAGCTTTTTCACTCTACTCCTTCACTTTCATCACGAGGCTCTTTAGTTTCTCTTCACTTTCTGCCATGAGGATGGTGTCATCGGCATATCTGAGGTTATTGATATTTCTCCCAGCAATCTTGATTCCAGCTTGTGCTTCTTCCAGCCCAGC